ATGAACCAAAGTTTACTTCTGGTGTTGTACCATTAGATATGGATCCAGCCTTTTCAGTTGTGTTCATTGTAGCGGTTGCTTTCTGTGGTTGTCGGCATATTTGTGCCATCAGTTGAATAGCTTACGATTTCAGAGGTGATAGTTTTTATTTCTTGTGTTGAGCTACCTAGTTCATTAGTGACATTATGTGTATAAGATATAAGATTTGAATTTTGAATCGAGCGAATTCGTTTCTTGGGTAGATTTGTGAAAGTGATGCAGGCAAACATGAATTGAGAGTTCCAATGATAAGTCAGAATAATGTTTTTGAGACAATTTTTATATCTTTTTCAATTTATTTGGTGTGAAATTATATTAGAAACTCATATTTTTATGTGAATGATGAATTGAAAAACAAAAGATCACCTAGAAAAACACAGACATTTAAAGTGAAATTAACAAAGAAACTGCCGGTTGAACCAGAACCAACCAGTGTACCACGTTTTTTATCATTATCATAGCTTTCTGTACCATTGATGACATTGCGAGCTTCATTATTGGAAGTAGAATTAAGCATGTTTTCTGTGAATTTTGGCGTATTGGTCATATCAGTTGTAGAGTCTCCGCTTTCATAGTTTTCAGTTGTTATTATTTGTGTTGAGTAATCTGCTTCATCAGTGACATTGCGAGGTGAATGAATTTCTTTATCTTTTCTTCCAATTTGTTGGTCATCCGATGTGGGCTCCTTTTCCTCATCAATCGATATACTTATATCTTTGTCATTAGGAGCATAAGTAACTTCAGGAAGAATGTATTCCGAAGAATTGCTTACCACCTCATTTTCAAAGCTGGAGTTTTCAAGCGAACTAGAAATTGTTGATGAACTTACTACGGAAGAAGTACCCTTAGAATCTTCTCTATCTTCATCAGCGTTGCGAGGTACATTATTACCATCATCAGTAACATTCAGCGTGTTTTCTGTGGTTGTTGGCGTATTTGTGTTATCAGTTGTAGAGCTTTCACTTTCAGATTTTTCAGTTGTTGGTGTTGAGCTATCTGTGATTTGAGTAGTCGTTAAAGAAACGTAGTTCACTATTTTATCTGTAGAGTTAGTACTTGTTGTTGGCATCGATTTAATTTTCTTTTCAGAGTTAGCAAACTTGGAAGACTCTTCATCGAACTCCTCATTAGGCATTGCGGACACATTTTCAAGAGTCGTTTTTGTTGGTTGAGCTGAACTTTCCCTCGAAGACTCATCCTCATTGTTATCAAATGATAACACATTAGTGTCTTTAGGTAGAGGCAATTTAGAATCATCATCTTCTATTGGTGGGGGTGAACTTGGTTCGTCATCCTTAAAACTCTTTTCTGTTTTTTTTTCTGTGGACGATTCTTCATGTTTATCATTTTTCCAAGGGAAATTCCAACCGCATGACGATAGCTGGACAGAAACAAGAATTATCAAAATAAAGGTTAAAAATTGAGATGACATGTTGAAATGAAATGATTCTGGCTGTATTGAAAATGCACAATCATAAATGTTCAAAGTATTAAAACGTTAATTCAAAAAACAGTGATAAGAAGGAAAGCAAAAGGTTGACTTTATATACACAAGTCAATAGGAAATGGTGTTAATCAAAGAGTTAAATTCTCCACTTTCACGAGTTTAACGATGTCTAAAAGAAAACACGAGAATGCATAAATATGGAATTCTAATTGTTTTAAATTGTACCCAAATATGAAGAACATCCTTTAAAATGTGAAATCACAGAAATGGTTGCACATGAAAATTAAATAACGGAAAAGATTACTTCAGAAATATCAGAAAAAAATACAATACATGTAAATAAACATAACTAAGCATTACCACAAATTGTAAGTTACTACAAAAAGATTCACTTAAATGTTAGATAGGGTTAATATAAAACTGTGAATTGACATTGTTAGACATTTCAATTCTGATAGAAATAGATTCAATTTTATAATATGACAAGAAATTGTATACAATTTTAATTTTGAACAAATCTAGTTAGAAAATTACAAATAAAAGTTTGATCAATATCAGAACAACAAAAAAGATTATTAATATTAAGAATGATATTATTTATATTAAAAATTTGATTTAACACAATCTCTGAGATTGAAAATATTAATGTACAAAGGTTAAGCATTTTGGCGAATGATTGATAAGGAAAGGTATTTTCTCCATGTCTGCATCCATCTCGGACGGGCAATAAAATCATCCATTCCTTGATTTGTTTTCGAATATCAATCAATCTATCAATCATTGAATAAGATAAGTCGAATGAAATAAACTTCTCCTTCATGCATTTACTAAATGTTTCCTCTTGCGGTTTATTCAAAAAGGGTATTCCATAACGAGCAAACTATCAATGAAAAAGACAGAATTAGTGGGTGCCATTAGAAGACTATCAAAGTACTTACTTTGTTGAAATCGAATAAATTATCAGCTAAGAATTCGATAGCTCCAGTTTCTATTGAAAAACAGCTAATTGGTGGCCCATAAAATCTTGGACAGCAAAAAAGGAGTATGTGTTGACTTTAAACCTGTGAGAAAAGATAGAGCTTTAGTAGGTCTGTTCAATTTGAGACATTTCAAGATTTAAGTTTATCACTTTATACTCAACTCATTTTGTAAATAGACAACTCAAAAAGTCAACATACCAATAAAATTGCCTTTTTGAAGCTCATCAACGATTTTGGGCAAGACCACTGTGAAATTGGAACAATCTAAATTCATTTCGAAGTATTTTAGTTTGAACTGACAAGGGACGTAACCCAGCTGGTACGGGCAGATCAAAATGAAAGTGGATTTAATGGAAAGCCCGTGTCAGAAAACCCTTAAAAACACTAATCTCGCAATGAGCAAATCGATCTGAAAAAAGTTACAGGGTCACAAAGTTTTTGATCGCGGAGGTCAAAATGATTAATAGAATCGAATTTAAGAATAATATTTATGTAAAATCAAATTATTTAGGTGTAAATGATAATGAGGAACCCAAATCTGGCTTCAGTTTTTCTCTACTATTTTTAGTTTGCGAAAAAATCGAAAAAAACATCAAAATGAACACCCGAAAACATCAGCTTATTTTATGATGTAAAATACATTTGTTTCATTTTAAAGGAAGTTTTTTTTCAGATTTGAGTTTTTCG